GCAGCTGACGGTGGGGGTGGGGAGAGAAGCCGGCGGCAGCGGCGGCGGCGTGCAGAGCAGAAGCCGAGCAGGGCGAGCGGTGGAGACGGGGTGGGGAGCGCAATTTTTTCGCACGAAGGGAGCGGGGGCGAGCGATGATTTGTTTTGCACGCCTGTCAACGATTCTCTTATGAATATTTTAGTTGTAGAGATAGAGATAGAAGAGATGTACATGTTCATCTCCCTCGTCTCGCCCACATAGTAGCTAGTTACCTCTATATGCTTGTTCTGCTGGGGAACAGCAAGGAAAGGCTTGAAGGTAAGCACAAGCCCGATGACCTCTGTCAGATTCAGGAGAAGAAACACCATCTGGTCCTACATGTACATATATATGAAAACAAAATGTGGGGATTAATCGAAAGCCATTTTTAACCTTTCATTCAAATCCGCATCCTCTATATATGGTTTTATTGCAGTAACTACTTGTAAGATTACACTGTAACAATTAGGATGGTAGTGCTGTAAAACTTCGTATATATAGGGTTTACCTGGAAAGATGGCGGCATGAGGGCACTTCTGTGCCCATGAGAACCTACAACCAGAGGCATTTCATCTGTGAGTTTCTTGTTCAAAAAATATGTACATGCACATACTCTAAGCTTGTCCTGGCTGGCTGGCCCATGCTTTCATGCTTATCACACAATGTGATAGACTAAACTAGCAACATTTTCAAGACCACGATGAACATCATACGAATAACAGGGTGGTCAGGCAGCACTACTAGCTTTTGTACATACAAGATGCCTGCTCCAGCTGGAGTGAAAGCCTTGGACAGAGACATTGCCGTTGTAGCTATTCCGTTTGCAGCGCCCCTTTGTTCTTGTGGCTGCAAATAGCATCCGATTCAAATGTTTAGGTTTATTATACATATTGACATCAGCACTGATAACAATTATTGATCAGTTCTTGGTAGGGAGTCAGATGATAATCGATAGAACTGGCATAAGTTGGTCATGTACCACAGAATTGTTTCGCAGAAGTAAAGTGCCGGTAACTCTAGTGATCTGATCAACATACTCAAGCATTAGTATCCCAAAGCAGGCAAAGTTGAACGTTTGAATGAAGCACAAAGGCATAAACCAAAACACATGTCCTGAATTTCTAATTCTATACAGGAGTGTATGTATGTAACCATTTAGTGGTGATGTGATTTATGGGTTGAATCTCAATTTACTCATAGTGAACTACTTACTGCAAAAACGCTTTTGAGCATTGCCGCAATGTAGAGCGGCACATCAAGTCTTATTCCTGACATGTGTGTCATGAAGGGATAAGCAGCAATTATTGGTATAGATAGTACCTGCGATGCTTATGGTCAATTGATAGAATTAAAACCAATTTTTAACAGAAAATAGGGAACAATGAGTAATGGACACACTGCAAAATGTCAAACAATAATAACGGTCACTGTAATAACCCACTGATGAAACTCGGGTTGAATTGATTAGACCAAGGACTTTATCGATCCAACAGTAAGCAAAGATTTGATATACTAGAAGACTGGCACCTACAGTTGAACAGAGGATAAGTATTGGCAATCCAGAAATTGCATTTACTACTACAGTGCACAGACTTTATAACAATAAAACACAAGCAACTGATCATGTGGATGCCTTGGATTTTTTTAAAGTTAATTGGGAAAGTAATCGGTTGGAGTGGAATTACCTGCGACTGTAAGAACTTGGCCCACATCTTTAGACGCAAAGCTAAGCCCACCATATTTTCTGTCACTCACGGTCCATACAGAAAATATCTGATGTTGAATTGCAACATTATCTAACTTTTAGAACAATTCATTTCAATGTAGAAGCTGTTGGAATCGGCAGGTGGTACCTCAACGTATGCGGTGTCATGAAGGGAGAAGACACATTATGTTAACATCAATGGCCAATTTTTGAGTAAGCTCTTCTTAGGTGGCTCTGTACTTTCTTGAGTTGTAGTACCTTCTACCATTTCAACTGCTGTCTCAAGGCCTTTGTGCTTATGTAGGGTCTCCTGTTTGGTTTAGTAGCTGATGAAGTAGAAATAAGCCGACATCAAAGTGCAAAGTTATCTAACAGAATTTTCTGTAACTTAATAAGGTAGGATATGATATTCACATGGACTTGCCTATTTAGTGTGCCAACAACAAGACATATTTATGTGCAAAAAAATAATAAAACGCATAAAGAAACCCTTCATGAATTGAAAAGATTATTAATACAACAATAAATTTGAAAGCATACACTGATATACAGAGCAGGTTATACTTACCGGCATCCATAGCTTATGAAAAGAGAAAAGTCATAAAGAACTGCTCCCACCCGTGTGAGGGCGATTTCGGCCTCCCACCCTTATGAAAACCAAGGTAACACCCTGCCCCTCCCCTCCCCCTCCTCCTCCCCTCCACCTCCCCTACCCTCTCCACCACGGATATCGCTGGATCTGGCATTCTGGCGCCGCCCATGGATCCGTGGCACGCCCGTGATTGCAGACATGGAAATAAATATGGCCAGAACCTGCATCATGTTGGAACAAGAAGATAAATGAAAAAAATTGCGCCATCATTCCGCGACGCCGGCCGGGGTGTTAAATCAAGGCGCGGAATTTAACCTATCTTGGGGCTTGAAAGCCACGACCGCACCAGCACCTGGGTGCCGCCACGACGTCGATGGGTGCCTCAACCTCCTCCACTCGCCGCCGCGCGGCACCATTCTTCCAGATGCTCTTGGCGGGCGTTGAAGCCGTGATCGGCTGATTTCCAATCGCGACATACAACAGATGTCGTTCGTGCACCAGCGGTTTTGGGGCGCCACGGGCATTTGACACTCGATGGCTGAACGGGGCCGACAGGGACATGGCCAGAGTAAGGAGGAAGCGCAAGGAAGACAGAGCAGGTGAAAAGTAAGTAAACAACAAATGGTTGATAAACAATGAACTCTCTTTGTCAGTCATACCCGTGTCGCTACATAGCGTTACTGCCCGGGCACCTCGTCAATTGCCGACACCGCCACGATATTCTCGCTTTCGCGTCCAATTATAACACCCATTCCCCATGCTTGGCGCCGGTGGGGAGACGACGACAACATCGGGCGACGCAAGACTAAGCCGGCGGCGATTAAATTAGATGAACCTATGGATCAGACCGAAGAACCGGTGGCTGGCCAAGGTAGTCAATATTGGTCATCTCTTCGACCCGATATGCTCGTGAGCCGGCCAATGAGCAAAGAACACCGGAATGTCTCGCCGCTGTTAGAGGTTGAGGCACCGGTGGCGGATTCCCCGACGACGTCGAGACGACGGTGGTCTCGATATCGCCAGAAGCGCCACAACTCACGCCACCACGACGGCGGGAGCACCGGCGTCGAGGGTTCCACCACCCCCAAAGCGACTTGTTGGTCAGGTTCGAGGTGCAAAATCTTCCTCTAATCGCCAAACCTGGAAGGTGGCAACCGAGGGCCTGCCAGAGCGAGCGGATCGCCGCTACCGGCTGGCGCACATTCCGATCTCCAAGCGGGCAGGTGCTCCTCATGCGAGGATGGGCTTTGCACCGCCGGCGTGTCCAATCTCATCCGCGTCAAGAGAGCTTACGACGACTTTTTCGCGAGGAACTGGGCGTCGGCGAAGTGGAAAAGCGGGCGACGAGCTGTTCGAATCAGGGATGGCGGAGCAGTCAGCAAATTAGCTGAGACGCGCAGTCAGACATATTCCTTTGTTGTTTATTTTTATGTAATATCGAAGTTTGAAACAATCTGCTAGGAAGGTCCAGTCAAACTATTAGACCTCCTAGGGCGCTCATTAGATGCGTGTCGTGTGTATGGTTGAACCCCTCTTCTTCTTAATTAAAATGATACGTAAATCTTTTGCGTATTCGAGAAAAAAAGCTTATGAAAACCAAGGTAACGAAAAATGATATACACAGACATGGAAATAAATATGGGAACCTGCATCGTGTTGGAACAAGAAGATAAAATGAAAAAAAAAAATCATTCCGACTTAGTGTTAGAAGAATTTAATCTTGGTTGAAAGGAATGCTACCTTCCAAACACTGATTTCTCATGAAACAGATGTGGATATTGTTTGACAGGCTGGTAATGAGGAAGGAAGACAGAGCAGGTGAAAAGTAAGTAAACCAAATGGTTGATAAACAATGATCTTTGTCAGTCATACCTGTGCTACATAGCCCCCAATTGCCGGGCCCAATTATAACACCCATTCCCCATGCTCTGCTGACCTCAATTAAATTAGATGAAATGGATCAGAAGGAACCTATTGTAGTCAATAATTATGTTATATGCAGTAAGTGTTATGAGCTTATGTGTAGAGTTGGAGCTTACAACTGATATACCCAAAGCTTGTTGGTCAGGTCGACAAACTTCAATGGAGTAGGCCTGTCATAGAAAGCAATAATTCCATTACATTATTGACTAGACTTTTGCTCGAATCAGGGCACAGCAAACTGACAGTGACATATTTCCTTTGTCTCTTCTTAGGAATTGCCACTTTTAACATAACAGAGTACCTTTACTGGTGCAGGGAATCTGTTCAGAGCACCCAGAAGAAACCTTGTAGCAAATACTTCACACTCAGTCCAAACAAAGTGTTGAACACAAAGCTGAAACATAGGTTTGGAAATGGATTAGCAATAAATAATTATATATATAATAAATAAAAGGAACAAAATACTACTACTAATATTTAACTTTGATTAATTATGGATATCTTACAAACTAAGCAACATATTGAAGAAACTTATGTGCTCCCAACAGTTTGAAAATTGATTCCCACTGTAAAGATAACTAGGGCTGAAGACAACTTTATACGAGATTAACAGGATGCTGACATGCACTGACAGTACAAAACTTCCCTAGAAAATTTCATCAAACAAATGTGACAACACAACTGAGGATGCTGGCAAGCAAATTAGAGCATGAGGTAGACATTACCACTCAGCTGAGGATTTATTTTGTTTCTCATAATGCTCATTTGTTGACCTCCTCAAGAAAATGGTACTTTTCAGGTAGGGACTTTGCATGGTTCTTATATTCCTCCCTCAAGAAAAGTGATATTAGCAAGGAAGTAGTGGAAGCCTCAAGTGAGAAGTTCATTTCATCAATTTTGGAGAGGTAAGCCCCAGCCCTCATTATCTCCACTCCACCCAGCAGCCTCCTAACTATACCATTTAGCATGTATGAGTTTGGAGTGCATCCACTCTTTTCCATTGCTAAAAACAAATTGTCAAACTCATCTAGCAGCCCTTCTTGTATGAGATTTTCCATCATTAAGCAATAGGTCACCACATCCGGAACTAAACCATGGGCAGGGATAGCAGCGAACAAATCCATGGCATCTTTCTTTCTACCACTTTTGAGCAAACAACCAATCATAATATTGAAAGTAATAATGTCAGGACGAATATCCTTAGAACACAGACTCTGGAACATTTCAAATGCTTCATCAACACAATTATTTTTGCAAAGCCCATTTAGAATTATGTTGTATGTGTAAATGCCCCACTGTTTCCTAGTTTTAATCATATTGTGGTAGAGTTCCTTTGCTTCAGAAAATATCCGAGTCTGAAATAAACCATGCAGTATAGTACTGTAAGTCACAGCACCAGGCATAACTTGCTTCCTCAACATTTCTCGGACAAGACAATATGCATTGTCCATCCTGCCAGTTTTATAGTAGCCACGAAGCAATGCATCATAGCACAAAATGTCCGGTTTCAAGCCAACTGAGACCATACTATCTAGTAACTTTGCTGCTTCATCAGTTCTACCAGCTAAGCAGTGGCCACCTATTAATGTACTATATGAGATAACATCAGGCCTCACGCCTACACGTTCCATCAAGTCAATGACATTCTGGGCTTCCATGACCCGTCCTTCTTTGCATAAGTTAGACATTATGGTGTTGAAGGACACGATGTCGGGACCGATTTCTTGATCCAACATTTCAAAAAATAATTCCTCAGCCTTCTCCCATCTGTCAACGGTGCAGAGTCCATAAATCAGGGAGTTAAAAACAACAATGTTAGGAGTCACTCCTTCATCGATCATCTGATTGAATTTAAGCACAGCATCATCCACTCTTCCCAACTTACAAAGTGCATCTATTAATGTTCCATAAGTGACTACATTAGGACTCAATCCTTGCTGCCTCATTTTGCTAAGTATATGCATCGCCTCATCTATCATTGCCTTTTTAGCATATGCACAGAACATAGTGTTGAAGATGTAATGATCAGGTGAAATACCATTTGCTACCATCAAATCTAGGAGATCAGGCAAATCAGCAAGGGCTTCTTTAGCAGCATACCCGTGAAGAAGAATGCCGTAGATAGTTACATTAGGTTTTATGCCCTTCCTAATCATAACATCAAAAATCTTCCTCGCTTCTGTGCATTTTCCATTCTTGCATAGATAGTCCAATAACAAACCATAAGTAACAACATTTGGGTGAAGACCACGTGCGTACATTTCTTCGAGCCTTTGAACCACTTCTTTCCACTGTCCTGTAGAGAGGTATCCATGGATCAGACAGGTATATGTTTGGATGTCTGGCTTAACACCTTTATCAATCATCTGCTGAAGGACACCCTCAGCCCTGTTAACTGCATGAGCTTTGCACAGGCCATCAATGACCGTGTTGTATGTCACAACATTTGGGTGAAGACCACGTGCGTACATTTCTTTGAGCCTTTGAACCACTTCTTTCCATTGTCCTGTAGAGAGGTATCCATGGATCAGACAGGTATATGTCTGGATGTCTGGCTTAACACCTTTATCAATCATCTGCTGAAGGACACCCTCAGCCCTGTCAACTGCATGAGCTTTGCACATGCCATCAATGATCGTGTTGTATGTCACAACATCTGGTGTGCAGCTTCCATCTCCATCATCAGCCATCGTCTGCAGCAGATCAAGTGCCTCTTAACTCTCTTTTCATTGCAGAAACCCTTGAGAAGTGTGTTGTAGGAAACTACGTCTGGCCTGCAGCCAAACTCAGGCATTCTTCGGAGCAATATGTCCATGGCCTCGCCCACCCTCTTCACATCACAGAGGCCCTTGAGCAGTTGATTGATGACTACGTCATCCACCCTCCATCCCGTCTTAATGATGAGGCCAAAGACAGAGAAGCCATGCTCCAGGCGACCCATGCGACAGAAACAACCAATGAGGATGCTGTATGTGTACAGGTCTGGACGCACCTTGTTGGAGCAGCACGGGCCATCCTATTGAAGAGGGAGACAGCAGCGAGCTCGGAGGCTGAAGAGCATTGGGCGCGAGAGATGACGTTAAGCAGGCTGTTGAAAGCACGAACCGAGGTGGGCCTGGCGTTCGGCAGCAATTCCTCGAACAGCTTGAGCGCGTCTCGAGGCCGAGGCTCCCCGACCTTGCTTGTCCCGCGATGACGCGCTCCAGCTCCAAGCACCGGTCGCGAGCAGCGCTCGCGCGGCGGGACATGCCAACGGAGGGCGCGCGCGCGGCTACTGGACCGGCGCGGAGAGGAACGGACAGCGCGGGCGCGCGGCGTGCCGGCGTCCGCCCCCGGGATCGATGAAGCAGAGCAGCTTACGGGTGGGCGGAGCCGCGAGTGCTGGAGGATGTGACTGTATAAGCGTAGAGCTGGAACACGGCGTCGGTGGCGGCGGCGTGGGGGCGCTTGGGTTGGCTGGTTGGGCGTCGGGCGCCGGCGACGTGGAGTATGTGTACAGGTCTGAAATCTGAACACGGTGGGCGTGCAATTGCTCTGCCTGTGTCTTGTCGTGTTTCTTTTCCCTTTTCCCTTTTTTTTCATCACATTCAGTTGATATGTTACAAATTACAGTTGTACTGTATGTCAATAGATATGTTATAACATTTCAGTTGAAACATATAAATTTATTTAAAGTAACAGTTTACACAAACTATTATCATAAATATTGGTATAATTTTAAATATTTTAATAGTGTTATTGGTATACAATTCGGTAAGGTGAAAATTTTTAAGCTAGTTGAAACATAACATACATATGTAAGCCAACTTTTATATAAGATGGTAATTTAGAAACATATATAGTAATAATTTTTCTTCATGTAGTATATGTTGATAATTTAGATGTAGATTTGAGATGATATTCTTTTAATAATGACATAAGTGGTAAATTATATGCTAATTTAATGGGTTACTTATATTATCTATCGTATAATAGCAAGTAGGTAATTTAGATGCAAATTTAGCGCTCTTATTTTCTCATAATGGTATTATAATAGTGTTAGATTATTATTTAGACAAAAAAGATTCAGTTGTTGTTAATATCGATGGTGATTAGAATCTAACGAATTAGTGGCTGGATATTTTTCTAGCTATTATGAGAATTTCTAGAATTTACTTTTTTCTAACGCATGTCACGAGGATCAACTAAGATTAAGATAGTGACTAAAGATTACCATGGCTAGATCTTTCTGATTTTAGTGAGAATTTTAGGATTCTTTTTCTTCCAACTCATCTGAGAATTAACGTGGAGAGCCTTTGAACCTCAATTAATTAGTAATAGAAAGAGGTTTTGCCCATTAGAAAAGTTGCCTAAAATATTGTACAACCTATTGATCTGTTCCTTGCCAAATGACAGCTCTTAAATTTATCCTAGTGCTCATTTTCTGGTCACTATTTCTCATGCATGTATACATATACATCTATAGACGGAATTACAGATATACACTTTGAATCTCTTCTTGAGTTGTTCAGATGATCTCCTTGCCATCATCAACCTCTGACGCCACCTGACCAGCAGAGGCAGGTGCATCGGAACCATCTGCGCCAGCATTGTACCACCTCGCACAGAGCAGGTAGCAGCAGAAGTTGAGCACGCTGAGCGCGGCGAGCATCCAGTAGAAGAGGTCCAGCCTATCCTTGTTCAGGTCGTTGTCTCCGAGCCAGCCACCGCCGCCGTGCCTCGCCGTGACCCTGTTCACCAGCGAGACGAGCACCGAGCTGAGGTAGAACCCGAACGCGTAGGAGCAGTACGTGAGCGCCGTGAGGAAGGCCTGCATGCCGCCGGCGCACGCCTGCTTGTAGAAGAACTCGATGAGCCCCACGGCGGTGAACATCTCGGACACGCCGAAGACGAGGAACTGCGGCACGATCCACAGCACGGACATCTGGCGGCCCTCCGCAGCGGCGTCCCGGCGCCTGCGCTCGATGTCGGCCGCCGCGACCATCGAGAACGCGACGGTGCCGAGGCCGACGCCGATGCGCTGGAGCGGGGTGATCCCGGACCGGGTGCCCGTGAGGCGCTTCATGAACGGGACGAGGAGGAGCTCGTAGGCCGGGACGAGCGCCAGCAGCATGGCGTAGGGGATGGCCTGGAGCGACGCCGGCGGGATGCGGAAGGAGCCGGACCCCGGCGGGAGCGCGGTGTCCATGGCGCTGCCCTGCTGCACCGAGAAGGTCTGCAGCTGCGCGAGCACGGTGTTGAAGACGATGGTGCACGCGAAGATGGGCGTCACGGCGAGGAGCGTCTTCGCCTGCCGCACCTCGGCCGCCGTGCACAGCCGCCACGCCCTCTCCGGCTTCGTGTTCGGCCCCTGCGGCGCTACCGGGATGCACGCCTTGTCCAGGAACCTACAAAATTCGTCATTTTCGTTCTCCCCTGTCAGAGATCAGAATCAAATTGGAGCAGGGTGCATTGACAGCAACAGATCGCTGTTTGCTGCATCAACGCTAGATTGATCTGATGCTGACCTGAATTTGTTGTTGTGGCGGAAGTTGCCAGCGAGGCGTGCCGGCTCGCAAGCTCCGGCATTGACAGCATTGGAGTTCGAGGGGCAGACTTGCTTCCTCTTGGTGAAGGCAGCGACGAAAACCTGATGAATTTTGCACGGTTAAAAATAGCAGTTTTGCAATCTGAACTGAGACAATCAACCTGTTCGCTTATTGGTTTCAGCCAGGACTTATCAGTCAACCAATAGTGTTTTTCTCTTACAACAAACCAACACCAGTCGAGCTTATCATCAAAAAAAAAAAAACCAATCAACAAACAGGCCCAATGTTAATACTATATTTTTTACATTGTTTGCACAAAGAAAGCGCGTCATCCCATACGCGCCACTGAATCTTGAGGTGCAGATATTGCTCGTGACAGCTTAAACAAACATGCAGACAGTTGTGTCGTTACCGTTCAGATCAAAATCACAGCTGGTCAGCTGCTAAGGACTGACAGTTTAACAGTACACAAATCATTAGATCCGTTTAAATAACTTCAGTCTGCAGCTTGCCGATGGGGTGTCAGACTGTCAGTTGACGCTAGTATCTCATTAGATCTGAGGGACAAAAAATTATACAAGGCCCTTGTACCTAGCATATCATTCCAATTCCCAAGCACTGATCGAGCTGCGGAATATAGCACGCAGGGGACCCGTTCAGAGTTCAGACTGAATGGTGACAACGAACATGTACCTACTATTTCAAGGCTATCTAATCTGATCCTGAAGCACTTGGGTGATGGATATAAAAATGTGGCCGTAGCAAGGATCATGAAAAAAGATCCTGCAAACTGTCCAAAGTGCACGACAAAAAAATCTTTTAGATTGATGAATCCTGTTTTGTCAGGATTCATCATGCAGGGTTTTCCTATCATTTGAACCCTCAATTAACGTGACTGCTTACCACACTGAAACTCTGAAAGTGAACTCACTGTAGTATAATATCAGTTTCAAAGTTCAGAGCAGGTTGCTACTGTACTCACCCTTGCAATGGGTGTGAAGATGCTGCCCCGCGGAGGCTTATTCCGGTAGAAGGCGGCGCCGGACACGAGGCAGACGAGCCCGGCCGCCATGGCGACTGCGGAGACGCCGAAGCCGACGTCCATGCCGGAGTGCGTCTGCACCCAGACCAGCGCCGTGAGCGCGACCAGCTCGCCCGCGCAGAAGCTGAAGTAGGCCGAGTTGAAGTAGGTCGGCAGCCTCCGGGCGCCGCCCGGGGTGGCGCCGTCGAACTGGTCCGCGCCGTGCGCGATCATGTTGGGCTTCAGGCAGCCGCTGCCCAGCGCCACCAGGTACAGCGCGAGGAAGAAGACGGTGGACTTGAAGCCGCTGGCCTTCTCGCAGCTGCCGTCCGTGGATGCCATGTTGCACGGCGGCGGCTTCAGCTGCGGCAGGTGCGCTTGCAGTGACAGTAGTATGAAGCCCTGCTAAATCATACGTACACTGTAAATGATTCATCATCAGGAAAAGTGAATTAAAAAAAAGTCTATTGCAAAAGTAGCTTGTGGCCACGGTGCTTTCAAGTAGCCAACAACAAGTTGCCTTTTCGCACGTGTAGTTGCTCGATCTACTTGCTTCTACATGGAGAGAGTCGCTTTGCTAGTGGTGGCCATATGCCATTTCGCCATTGTGCGTTGAATTCAACCTGGTCCCAAGAGCTTGTGGAAACCAAACAGGCCGGGAACCAAATCTCTGGTCCATCCATGAATGGAGATTGGCGCCTTTTCAGCTCCATCCGCCATAACCCAACCTCGCTTTTTAGGTGAGAGAACAATGGTCAACAACGAATGAACGAAGGGGATGGATAACCCTTTGGATTGGTCTGGTATACATCCATTTTTGTTCTTGCAGGGCCTGCTTATTAGTAGTTGTATTCTTTCCTTCCTTATGCAACGAAACTTGGCACATTCTCGTTCAAGTTTTATTCAAAAAAAAACAAATTTGTTGCCACAAAACCACTAAAAAAGGAAGTGATGGCGGCCACCGGCGTGTAGCTATCAATTCCGTGAGACGCATGCCCACTACTGCAATAAGCGGCTGGTGCGTGAAACCGACTATACGCCTATACCCAGCAGCAGCCAGAGCCCAGAGCCCAGAGGTAGATAGAACAACGTACGTACGTACCGAGAGCTCGACGAAGCCGAAGATGAGCATGGTCCAGAA